TCCTCAGTCATATCTGTCACTGTCAATGTAATAGAGCATTTTATGCAAAGTAATAAAGGTCAGCTATGCGCATTTATCCTTCCCCTGATAGTAAGCGCTCAGACGTGCCCCCTTTAAGCAGAAATACATTTTGTATACATGCATTCTTCAGTTGTAAGATTTCTGGGGGGATTTTTGCACATACTGCCTGTTTCAAATATATCCACAACATCCACAACGGTATCAGATCTGTGCTTTGGCCCATATGTGTCTTAAGTGTGCCAAAGTGACCATATCAAAAGACTTCAAAGCAGTCATTTCATCAGTCTTTCACTAATTTCTTTGGATTATTTTGTTTACAATGAAAAACAAGCACAGAAAAGACCTAAATTTAACCTTTGTTTGTCTTTGTTGAATCAGAAAAGCACCTCCTGCCTCTGTACCACGTATCCCTTTACTTCTACAATGTGATATTTTTACATAAGTGCTGATTAAAAGCATGTGCTGTAAGCATCATTCATGCAAACTAATACACATGCGAGTACTTTATTAATGTCTGTCATTAATGAGTCTGCCATTCTTTGTCAGATTCTCAGTGTCTTTATCACATATTTGCTTCTAATTCAAGTTTAGACATTATAAGCAGAATTAATTTCTACCGTCAATGTTTATACACTGAGCCTGATTTAACATCTGCCACTTCATTAACGCCACTAGATGTGGCCACTCTGTGGCCTGGTGGTCTGATGCAACTCTGAAGTCACCGCCAAAAGGCTGACCAATCCCAACTTTCAATTTTCTTTAAAAAAAAAATGTGTCCACAATCCAGAGTGTCGCCATCTGTTTCCTGTTTTCAAAGGATATTTGACTGTCGCGGCAGAGAAGTGAGACGAAGGGAGTTCCGCTCTGGAGGGAGTTACACCAGCTCCATCAGAGAGGGGTCTTTCGAGCTGCATGGAAACAGAGTGATCAGACTGGGCATGAACATGTATGTAAATATGCTGCTGGACACTACATGATGAACACACACACTGAACCTGTGGGTGACACTGCTGCGTTTCATGACTTAAAGGTACACTGTGGATCATCCAGAGGAGACACACACGTCCAGGGCTCCCTCTGTAAAGGTAATAACATGTCAGGGAGGTCACAGATTTCATTTTACAGTTATGGTTGGTGATATATATATGTATATATATATATATAACTTAATATTGTCCTGAACTACACCTGAGCTCTTGCTGTTGTGAAACCATGAAATTATGTTTAAGCAATAATAGCAAATCATATCATATGGAGCTTTTTTCCTATAGTGGTGTTTAAAGGATGCTCAGGTGGCACCAAGGGGCTCAAAGTGTGCTGAAAAAAATATCCACTACGCGGTTGCACCACTTTCACACTCACTCCACTAACTTGATGCTTCCTAGTTTGTCTGGAGCCAGAAGTGACAATTTTTGAATCAGATGGTAGGGCACCGAGTTAGCTAAGGTTATCTAGCTGCAGCAATAAACCCAAAAAACCAGACATATGCTTGATATATTAACATATTTTTAGATATTTCTTACGCCAAAGGAACCCAACATACATTTGTTATAGAGTGGGAAACTGTCCATGTGCCTCCAAATCACTTTTTATACCAGGCTGTGAACATGCATTTAAATGCTGTAAATTTGGATATTTTTTAATGGAGGTCTGCGGGGATTCACTCATTTTTGCAGCTTGCCTCAAGTGGCCACTCAAGGAACTTTAGTTTGTTTTGTACTTCTGTGTTGGCTTCGTATATTAGCCCCAGAAATTCCTGCTTGCCTGGACATTGATGCATAGTAAAAGCCGTTAATGCTGTTATGGCAGTGGCCCGTTCCCTGTGGTTTGCACACGCAGCTCTTTATTGACACACTTTTTGCATATACACTTAAACTCACCTCACTTGCCCCGCTGTTCAAAACATCTCACTGCTGTAGGCTCATCATTGTGTGTCTCTCTACAGCCTCACACCTTCTATAAGAGAAGAGCTTGATTGGGTGTGTAAGACAGGTGTGCCCAAACCACACTACTGTGGTTTCCTGGCTTCTACAGCTGAGCCAGAAAACCACACCCCAGTGCTACTGCTGTACAAAGAGAAGATGGTAATCAGATTAATGAAATAATAATAATAGTGTTTCTCAGTAACTGTGAATGTTTGTGTCTGCTTATATTATCACCATATCAACATTAAACGGCTGGTTAGACAGTGTAATGTTTAATTAGTCAATATTAACATTAATAATGTTTGAAAACTTGTAGTAACTCTTGTGCTGCCACTGCACCCCTCCCTTTCCTGAACCATTATCCACAAATAGAGAAAACTTGGAACAGTTGTGAAGCTTCCCAGGAGCGCATTAGTTGCAAAAGACTCCAGAACAACATCTAAAGAACTGCAGGGCTCACTTGTTTCAGAGTGGACCAAAGTGGCATCCATGAGAGAAAAACACCACTGACCAAAAAGAATACGCAGGCTCATCTCACATTTGCCAAAAACATCTTGATAATGAGAAAGAAGCTGGAATCTTTTTAAGCTTTGCATGCCGTTACATCTGGTGTAAAACTAACAGCATTTTATTAAAAGGAACATCATGCCAACAGTCAGACATGGTGGTGGCAGCGTGATGGTCTGACGCAGGTTTGCTGGATGATTTGCCAAAACTAGTGGAACCATGAATTCTGATTTCTACTAAAAAAAAACCTGAAGGAGAATCTCCAGCTATCATTTCTTGCCCTGAACCTTAAACAGGCTGTTCTTTCTTAAAAACCCTCCAGTTTGGCTGAATTAAAAACATCTCTGTAAGGAAGATTGGGCCAAAATTCCTCCACAGGGATGTGAAAGACTCATTTTCAATAAAACGCTTGATTGTAGTTCTTGCTGCCAGCAGCGATGCAACCAGTTATTGGGTTTAGGGGGAGTTTTCAGAGGGCCAGGTAGCATTGGAGAACGTTTTTCCATTAATAAATTATATAATTTAAAAACTGCATCTTGTATTTAGTCTGGTTCTCTTTCTTTATTATTAGAATTTGTTTGATGACCTGAAACATATAAGTATAATAAATAGAAAAAGATCAGAAAAGGGGCAAATACTATTTTCACAGCTCTGTTATAACCTGCCTCTGCACCTCCATCGTGCTGCAGGCAGACGGCTCTCCCAACCCGCTGGCGAAGGAGGAGCTGAACCTGCTGGCTCGTCTGATGGGCAGCATGAAGACGGAGAACAAGCCCAAAGACGAATCGGGTTTTCGAATCAACCTGTTCAACACAGACAAAGAGGAGGCGGAAGCGTGGGTGTTCTTCTTTTCTATTTTAATTCCCTGTTGTTACATTAACATAAATTTCCTCATCAAGGCCTTTTTATCTTGTTTCACAGAGGAGCATCAGCTAGTGCTGAGGAGTCCTTGTATGGAGTGATAAATATTCAAGCAATGCAGGTATGATCATGCAGACTCTTCTGGAGTATTTCAGTGAACTAAAACTAAACCACAGTCAAGAAAACAGTTTAGTTTGACTTAAAAAAAAAAGGCAACTGCTGAGCACGTGAACAAACCTAACAATATAAACAGAAAATCTGGCAAAAAAGTGTGTTAGTGTGAGTGTCTGGCTACACTCTGGACTGTTGTTATGACTGCCATGTCTCTCTTAAAACATCTGTGATGAACTTAATCCAAGTTTTTGGTTCAGGATGAGCAGGCGGCATCGGAGTTGGCTCGCATCGCCGGACAGTTTGAAGAAGAAGAAGAAGAAGAGAAACCCGAAAAACCCAGCAACAACAAGGGAGAAGAGCTCCTGGCCATGATGGACGACCTCTGACTCATTTATCCAGTCTGTGGTTGTTTGATGATCGGATGGTTAATCTCCACTGTGAACTTTAATCTGAAATATGCAGTATTCAGTGAAACAGATGCAAGAACTCAACATTATAACACAGTTACAATAGACAGAAACTATTTTCTATGTTTAAATTGCAGCTGAACTGACTTGGATGTTAAACGGTAACACCTGCTGTGTTTGAGGTTTCATTTTCTTTTTAACAATTTAATGTTAAATAAAAGTATTTATTTATATTTACATGATTAGGCTGGCTCGTGTTTACATGCTGTAAAACAAAATGAGTTGCAAATGTTGCTGTGAGGCAGGGAAGAAATTAAATGAAAAGGATTGATCATATTTTTAAATACGACATCTAATTGGACACGTACTAATTTAAATAAGCTATAAACTAATATTTGGATAATGAAAATAAATGTTCATTGAGACGATTTCGTTTCTGCAGCAGCAACCTGTAGGGGGTGCTGTTGTCTTGGCTTTGTAAGAAAAGAACAATCTCATGAAGGTTTCTTTGATTCGGAGCCTTTGCTCTTTGTTTATTCGGCTTTTAATCAATTAATTAATTAATTTTAATACTTATATTTTAAATATGACAACTAGTACTGTATGAATCCAATAAGGTACAAAAGGGAACAGAGCAGTGAGTATAAACGTTCATGTAGGCATAAGATCATTTAGCATCATCCTTTCAACAAGGTGTACTATTAAATAAAAGAGTCATACATGCATACAACACAATGGCAATGGTGGGAAAAACAGTTTAGAATATCGTATGATTTTTCTGGTTTATTTCCTTTAAGTAGTTTAGAAGATTTTATGTATAACTTGAATTTATACAAAAACAAAACAAACAAAAACACCAATTTAAACACATATAAGATTAACATTTTTAATGTATTTCTTTTGTGTGGTTTTATATTGGGTGTTTTATGATGTTCTAAATCTGTCAGTAGAATTTTGCTTAATTAATAAAATTTTACACTCCAGAGAGCAAATTTATTAATCTTAATATATACTTTGCAGCTTTGAAATCCAGCATATATGTGAAAAATAATGTTGCTGTGATGACATCCTGTTCTCGGGTTCCTCATTTATGTCCTGGATTGTATTGTATTAAAGCTGGTTATGAATAAAGTTTTTATTTTTTTAAACGGTTGACGCAAGGACGACGGTGAAACGTCATCACGTCGCTGCTCCTCTGTCGGGTTTCTGCGGGAAAACGAACGTGTTGAGATGTTTTGAGAGGTTTCAGCAGGTCGGTGTTTCGCTTCTACATGAAACCTGTGTTTAAATAATTCAGGTAAATGTTACAGACATCAGCGGAGGGAGAAGCTTTGATTTACACTCATGTTTTACGCATTTTGGAGCTTTATTTAGTCGCTGCTAAAGCTAAGGAAACGCTAAAAGAAAAGAAAAGCTAGCAGAGAAGAGTAACTTTGTGCTTTCAGATACAAATTTGAGTGTCATTTTAAACGTGTTTTTATGTTTTCTGTAGGTTTAGTTAAAGCTAAGATGACACTGCAGTATATGACACTATATCTTCTGTATTACCATTTATATTCGGCTGTAATGTGCATATACGGGGGTTACTTTGAAAGCCAAATATGAAAGTGTTTTTTGGACCAATAAAGAAAATGCGGTTACGGGATATGATAGTCACGAGATGCAAAACAGACTACGTGTGTCTGAATGAGAAGCTGATGTGACAGTGAGGCAGGAGGAGGCTGGCGTGGTTTGGATATGTGCAGAAAGGATGCTGAATATGAAGACCTCAAAGGATTCATGTAGTGAAGGAGGACATGCAGATGGTTGGTGGTGACAGAGGACGTTAGGGTTAGGATGAGATGAAGGCGGATTAGCAACCTTCAGTGAGCTGCTGAAAAAAGGAGGAGAAGAAGGAGTTGTTTTGGCAATTAGGATTACCATTAATTGACTTTACATCAGGTCAGCTGGTATTGATCCCCTGATTTTAATAAGTGACAGTGGAATAAAATTATTTTGTTTTTTGCTCAGAACTTGTAACAGTTTCCAGAGTTACATTGGATCATCTCTCCAGCAGATAAAGAAAATAAGACTGGAAACATTTAATTCACTTCATTCTTTTTATGTGTGTTTTTTGTGAGCTCCATTAAAAAACGCAGTAAGAAAGTATCTAAGACAGCCTTTTTTGATCCCTACATTGCAGTTTCAGTAGAGCCCCATTAACAGCCTAAGAGGATCTAACGTTGATGCAGTCACATTGTCTGGGCATGGTGCTCTTTTCCTAAGTCCTCAGAAATTCTTCTTCCTTTACCTTATTTTCAGTCAGAAAAGTGATTAAGAAAAGATGGAGGGAGGGAAATCTTTTTTTTAACGATTTGACCACAGCCTCTTAGTCGTCTGACGTTTATTAAATGCAGGATTGGTTTGTGACAGATGAGATAAATCGCATTTAAGCTGTGCAGGACATTTTCTATTTGACATGTTCCTGTGTTTTCTCATTTTCTGATTCTAATATTCTGTCCACAAAGTGTGCAAGGTTTTGCAAATTTTTGCTTTATTGGTTTCAAGGTCAGAATCGGTAAACCACAGAAACACGTCTCAGGTACCAACACTGCATCACAGACTCTAATCCAGAGTTATCAATCTTCTGCTTTTCTGCAGGTTACTATGGAGCCCAAGGGAGCTGAGTCTCAGCCATCCGGCATGGGGCCGGTTGAGGTGGTGAACTCTATTCGGGAGCGAACGATCACAGAGAACAGCATGGTGATCCTCCTGCAGGGCCTTCAGGGAGAGGTGACCACGGTGGACCTGAGGAACGAGAGCACGGCACGTGGACGCGTGGTCAACGTAGATGCCTTCATGAACGTACGGCTAGAGGACGTGTTGTACCGGGACCGGCGGGGTCAGCTCACACAGCTGCAGGACCTATTCATCACTGGCAGGAACATCCGCTATGTCCACATCCCCGACCATATGGACATAATGAAGACCATAGAGAGCCAGCTGGCCAAGATTCACCGCGTCCGGAACTTCGGCAGTGAAGGCGGAGGCAGGAAAGAGTTTGCCAAGAAAACAAAATGACTTTTTTTTTTTTTTTTTTTTTTTTACATTTGGAAAAGACGCTGCTTGTGTAAGGTTCAGAGATTAGAGGACAAACACCAGTCTAGACCAATAGTTTACATCCTGAGGGCCCACAAAGTGACTCCAGGGTCAAGAACAGGGAGAGAGATCTCAGGTACAGTAAGCTATAGTTACAGTCCTCCTTTTCATTGTAAAATACTGGAAGCTGTCTTTAGTGCTATAAAAACTGAACAGCTTGGAACCTGGGATGAAAGGCCACAATCTGGGTTTGATTTCTTGTAAGGATCACAAACTCGAAAGGCTGATATCAGTAAATGTTTTAAATGTTTAAAAATAAAACTCAACAGACTGATTTGTTTCCCTATGTAAACACTGTAACAATTCTTTTTAATACATTGCGGATTATTTCTTGGATTAATCGATCCTTGTATCAACTCAAAGAAGCTCTTTGGTTGAGATAAAAAAAAAAGACAAACTATTTAGGGGGATTTTTAAATGAGATATGATGAAAATGCTAAAAAAAAATCCATCTGAGAATAACGTGAAATCTTTTTCAATATAATTATAACAACTAAATGATAGATCCTCTTTTGCACAAAGGGTTTAACTTAAACAACGCCACAGCTTCTCTCATACTTTGCTGACTTAGAAACAGTGAAGAGTCTTATCTCTTAAACATAGAGAATACCCTAAAGCAGTCACTTTTTGTGCCTTTTGAGGTGCTGCACCTCATATTTGTACTAAATAGCAAAAATACATTTATCATACATTTCTCCTAATTTTTATAGTATTTTCTACACCTCATTTGCAGAATCTGGACACCTACATTTTTTGCTATTATAACACCAGTGAGGTACACCTGTCAATGTAAGCAGCCATGCTTTTTACTCACCAGACGGATCAGCTAAAAACAAAAGTCACCTCCACACTGTTGTTATAAAGGACGAGATTTAAACTTGGGGGTCTTATGAGATTTGACTCGCTTTTGGAGGCTCAATTTTTCCACCGCCAGAGGTTGCAGCTTGTTTATTTTGGCCCATGTTTCTTTTTTTTAAGTAGGTTTCCCTTTAGCGGGATTTAAGCATTAGTTAACTTCTCCCACAGTTGTGGTTTGCTCCCCACAACAAAATGACTCAACTTATTAAGCTCCTCACTGTCATTCTGGGCCTTTTGATGTGTCGCTCTCTAATAACTCCCTCCAGCCAGCAACTTAATTAACTATCCTAACTTTTGTGCTATCGCATTATTAAAGATCTCTTTTGTCTGTCTTTCAGTACGTTATCATTTTAATTTAGTTGTAAAAATACTTTGAGGGACTTGTCTTTTCTTACCAAATTATTCCCAAAGTTAATCTCTCTGCTCCAGCTCAGTTTTATGAGAACTGAATGGCTCATATTGCAGCTGACACTGAATGCGGTTGTGGTGTGAGGGCCAGTGTATTTACTGGTAAATGGTGAGCATCACAAAGCCCATCTTTCTGTGTGTTAAAAAAAACAGCCCTAAGTTAATCACTGCCTGTATGCAGGAAAACATTAGTCACTGGTGGGGAAAAACAAGCCGACCTGTTTCCACAGCTCCACAAACATCTCTGCATCAGCGAGCAAGTCGCTCTCAGTCACGACATTGACATCCACTCTTGTTTTTTAGCCAGTGGAGACAAGCGTGGCGGGTGAAAGGAAGGTAGTGTTTTGCTTGGTGTTCTACCCGTGCGCAGTTGCGATCGGGAATCTGGGGAATTTGCAAAGTGCTATGTTATTCCTACACAGCATCAGGAAGAGGACAGGCCTGACATAACACAGGCAGCTGGAGCAGATAAACCCCGCACTGTGGACAAAAAGGGCGGAGGTTCACCAGCCGTTACTGAGTGCATTAAATTAGGAGGAATATGCACGCAGGAATGTCCCTCAGCAGTTGGATCATTGTTTTGGGCTTTAGCCTCAGAGTGATTTTAGGGACATATTTTTCTCTTGACCAACCCTGAGTGTTTGAATGACAGCAACCACATAATAACCGCTTATTGCTGTGCTAAAAACACCAGCGAGTGCCACATCAACGCTCACTAGACTCAGAATAGTACTTTACAACCGCATAAACAGGTCTTTTGCAATACTTAAGAGTCTGGGTTAGTGTTACAGGAAAAAGCACCAGTATAAATAAGAAAGACAAGCCCTGCTTTCATCGCTGTAGTCAGTCTGTAGAATTATATGCTCATACTTTTAGAAATTAAAGGGGGGCTGTGTTGGTTTTTGTTATTTTCTGTCGCACATACTGTTAAAATGATGAATGCGCTCATATCCAGTTCTGTGGAATTATTCATATTTTGGCTTCGGCTGAGGTTTAAATTCACTCCCAGCAGGCCACAGAGTCAGGTTCACTTCAGTTCACTTAAATGAATTTAGTTTCTTCAGTTGAATTGAATGGAAAAATATAGACTTACCTTTTTGACAAAGCTCTCAGTCACACAGGCCTATAGACCAGTTGGCAACCCCCTTGCAGTCTCCAGTCGCTAAGAAGAAATGTGTGTATTCCCCAGACCAGTGTTTGAGTATTAGTTGATTTGAAAATGGTTGCCAACAGGGTGCTGAACCAAAGACCTGCCTGTGATTGCGTTTTGTTGCTTGTAGATTGCTGTGGTTGCCTGTAGTTTGTATGGAAGATGCCAACTTGTCTGCAAACATTCACAGAGTTGTAATGAAACTTGGAAAAGTGCAACACAAACTTGACCTTCAGAGCAAAATAGTGCTTTACTTTTATTTTGAAGGTTAACGTTCTCCATTTCTGGTTTGCATCGCACCTTTTCAAGTTTCACTGCTGCTCTGCAAGTAGCTGGTGAGTGGTTACAGATGAGTTGGTGTCTTCCATGAAACTGCTAGCAACCTGACGCAAGGAGAATTTCCATTTGACCTAACAACTGTAGGCAATCAATTGCCAACCAGTTGTGGAATCCTTATTTGTCCCTAGCAACCAGTGGTTTCCAAGGGTCTCCAAGCCTGTATGGTTTTGCTAAAATCAAGCAGCGAAAGTGAAATGAGTTTTTAAATGTAATAAAAGACAGAGGAGATTATTTTTGACTCACACATTGACGACCACAGTCCCATGGTTATTCAATTACTCAAGTGCAGCCCTACAAAAATCTTAGTGACCATATAGTTTCCTTAAAGCACAATAACCTGGCATGTAATGTGGATTGGGTGTTCTGGGCTGCTGGACTGAGTTCAAAGGTGCAAACTGGACTGGTTTAAGAACTATTTTGCTCTTTTGATCAGTTATATTAACAATGTGTCGGCTGTGTGACACTGCAGTGTAGCTCAAATCAACTATGAGCATCTCCTGTTTCGGTTGTTTGATAGGTTTTACAATTTTTATCTCCTGGTGTCGTGTGGAAAGCTCCAGCTTTGTAAAGTCCAAGTCAGATTTCCCCATGAAGTATCAATCTATTCATCGGTCTCCTCTCCTGCTCCACAAACCTCACTCTGAGCTCTTTTTACTCCCCTCCAGGCTCAGATTAAAACACAAAGAGCTCAATTAATCCAGGAGCCCCCACAGCAGCGTGGCCCCATGCCCACAGACAGGGCAGGGATAGCTCAGTAGGTAGAGTGGTGGCCCCGTGATCGGAAGGTCGGGGGTTCGACTCCACTGAACAGCTACCCTGAGGTACCCCTGAGCAAGGTACCGTCCCTACACACTGCTCCCCGGGCGCTGCACTGGCGGCTGCCCACTGCTTCACTGGGTGAATGGGTTAAATGCAGAGGAACTATTTCCCTACGGGGACTAACATGCACACTTTACTTTACACAGCTGCCACCTAGCTATTTCCTGTTCCACCCTCCTGGCTTTTAACTGTGAACAGACCTCAGTGTTGGGCATCCAGCAGGACAGAGAGATCACCTCCCTCTGGTCAGGAGTGTGTGGGTCATACCTGGAGAGGATAGAATAGCTAAAATAAAAGACTTCAGCGCAGTTTGGAATTTTTATTTTGGAGTTCGATGGCAGTGAAGCATGCATGGCTTTCACTTCTCTCAGGAAAAGGAAAGACCTCCTCCAAAACACAAGTGTGGACCACTACTGGCTGGTCCTCCTCCCTCTGAGGGATGAGAGGGAGTGAATCACAGTGGAGGGCTGCTCGCTCTTCAGTCCAGCAGCGTCTGCTCAGCTGTCACGTATGCCGAGTGACCCACGACCTCTCGCTGCTGCTTTTCTGCCCGAGAGAAGATGGGAGTCTTATCTAAGTGACCGGCTCCAAACGTGGATCTGAATTCTTTGTTTTGCATACGGAAGTTTTAAATCTGTCAACCTGTGCATGACTGAGGTGAGTGACTTTTATTTAACTTTATCTTTGCTGGGAAAAAAGATTTTTTAAATTTTATTACACCCCTTAACAAATATAAAGCTCTACTGTCATGCAACTCAGTAGTTTATTAGCATGGCCTCCTGTTTTTTTTTTTTTACAACACCACAGACAATTAAAGGTTTTTACAAGCTGAGGAGCTGCAACATGCCCAAAATTATAGCACAGTGAGTATGTTGTCACCCAGTCTGTCACATGTATTTTCCATCAGTCTTAATCTCACTCTCTTTAAATGTTTTTGACAGCAGCTCCACCTCATTTCTCATTTTTTTGACTACTGTTAAAAAGTAATTTTTCCAGCAGTTTCAAGTTTCCTCATTGGACTTAAACAGGATTATCTAAGCAGGAAGCGCCGAGCGGGAGTGCATTTTACAGGGTTTCACATAAACAGCTGCCGGGCTATGCTTGCGTGGAGGTTGTTGGACTCGTCTGGAAATGTTAGGTGTTAAATCTGTCTGCCCGAGACTGCGGCTGCACAAAATGTGTCCCTCCCTCTGGTATTTGTGTGGTGCTTCGAGCTCACCACAAACTGCCAGTCCTGGAGCCATGAAGAAAAAAATATTTATACACGATTTCATTCTGTAATCGAGAAAACAGAAAAAGAGGCGCCTCTTTGTGTCATTTCTCTGTATAATTAAGCATTAAAAACGTCGCCTTCTTAAAACAAATGAGAAAGTTCATGGAGGGCACTTTTTTCCAAAAAATTTACAAAGTCTGAATGTTGCACTGAAAAAAAGAAAAAAATTGTAATTAAAGTGAAGCTGAGATAAAAGGTCTCTGCCCTAAAAATAACCTCATACATAAATTGCAAAACCCTAGCCAAGTGAACAAATGCGATGTGTGTTGATTAGCAAACAGACAGTTGAAACTATGAAGGTTTGAAAGGTGATGCTAACACTAAAGTGCCTTAAAACTGCATTCTTTTTCATGACCACCAGGGGGGAAATGTGTGGTTGGAAAAAGACTTCTAGTTCTATCAGAGAACAGCCCTTTGTAAACACTAAGTTTATGGCCTCAATCACTCACTTCAGGTCATATTCAATATATAATTAAGTGAGTTTTGGCAGCTTTCCTTTAGTCTTCTCATGGTTACTTCCAAAAGATGGACCTAACAAAAAGCCTATAAGATTTTGCAGTCGTTAACATAGTGACTGGTGAAACGACCACATATTGTGAATTTGACTATGAAACCTCAAGCTCACTGGCTTATAGAATGCAAGCTGTAATCGACAGCCTGTTGTACATACCCTGGATAATCCTCCTCTCTGACTCTTAGAATGACCAGATGGACTTTTTTAAGTTTGTGAAGACATTTAGTCTCAAGAGCTGAAACGTCTGCTCGTAATGACCCACGCCTTTTGTCACAAATTTGCTCACATGATCAGTAGTGGGTCAACAACCCTCAGGACCACCCCCATGGGGACGCTCCTCCCTGTGCTCAAGACTCACACAACCTGGACAACTGAGAACCTACAAATCCCCAAATTTACAAAATTAACTATTTTATTCTGTATGACCTGAAAGTAGAAACATGAACTGAGCAGGAAGGCCTGGGGATGTTTTTTAATTAATTTTTTTTAATTTTGTGAGTCTTTGATTTTCTCTGTTTTTATTCCATTAATGGTAGTTTAAAAGAATAGGTAAACAAAATTAAAAAAAATATATAATAATAATAATTTAAATAGATAAAAAAATAAAGGATCATTTTTAAAAATTTTACGTTCATTCTAGTTGTTGTTCTAAGCGGTGCTTGGCAGCGTCATGAAAAGTTGGAACAGCGTGGATCTGGATCATCCGGCCTCCTGCAGTGTCATCTCACTTTCCCAGCGCTGATAGTGAAAGTCAGTTTGGGATTGTTGTTTGTGCTGTGGACTGTTTCAAGATGCAATGATAAAAATCAGATTATGGAAAGAACTTTTATCCCCACCGGAAAAATAAAAATAACTAAGCAGACACTGAAGGAAATCCTCCCCCAATCCCTGGACAAATTGCTCCCTGCTGTTGCATAACACTTTATAACTGTTTCCTCGTTTTTATTTAAAATTTAAGTTAAAAAATAAATAAAATGTAACCTCAATGTTAAATCTCTGTGCAGATGGAGTTATACTAACCCCGCGAATCAGCCTTCAAGTTAACCTAAACTAAGATTTGCTTGATATTTTTGCCCACAGACACGTGAGTGTTGATCTTCTCATCCAGCTTATTTCTTATAGGATGGAAACAAAAAAAACTTAGAAAGAATGAGGTGATATGTGCACTGTGATAAATGCTGCAGTCTTGATAAACTGTGTAAAAGTACAGGGTGTAAAGTCAGTCTTTAATCGTTTGAATCGAGCTAAGCTGAAAACTAAATTGCTCACTTATGTTGTTAAGGTCTGGGGGCAGCAAATTGGGGGTGCAGAAGTAGTCATGCTTCTTCTTTGATTAAATCCCAAACAGAAGGCAGCGTTGGTTGGGAACCACCAGTTCCCATGAGTAAATGGACCCCGAGCCAGCCACAAAGCAACTACAACTTTAATTTGCCCAAAAGCAAATTAAAGAAAGCCTTTGAGAGCACACTGGGGCTGCCAAAAGTCGCTGGGATAAAGATCAGGGTGGGAGAGCGACCCAAACCCCCAGCAGCAGCAACTGGAACGGGGCACGGTTTGGTCCTCCCCAGAGAGAGAGCAGGAGAAAGAAAAACATTCGGCTCCCATGGAAATTGTTTTTGTAGTGACAGGGAATGTGAGGGGGTGGGAAGTATCAGTCATCATGTTTACGTCAATCCTTACTGTAACCGTGGGACCGTCTGCGAGACGGGTCCGGAGCAAATCCATCTACCGCGGTCTAATGCAGCCCCTCGCTCTCTTAAAGGGTCAATTCACCCAAATAAGAGAAGGATGCAGTCGCTCTGAGAAGCTTTTTTTTGTATGGGAAATGTCAGGTCGTTTTGTGCTGACATCCGTGGCTGTCCTCAGGATAAAAAATAAATATATATATATA